ACTGATGCAAAAGGGAAAGGTGATTGCCTATGCTTCTAGGCAATTGAGGAAACACGACGTGAACTACCCTAACCATGACCTAGAGTTGGGGGCGGTGGTGTTTGCACTAAAGATTTGGAGGCATTATCTCTACGGGGAGACATGTCACATCTACACCGATCATAAGAGCTTGAAGTACGTATTCACTCAGAAAGAGTTAAATATGAGGCAGAGGAGGTGGATGGAGTTGATCAAGGACTATGACTTGATCATCAACTATCACCCCGGGAAGGCCAATGTAGTGGCCGATGCACTAAGCAGGAAAAGTACATTGGGGACGTTACTCGCATGCCTACGGGCATTACGGGCACGCGTGGAGGTGACCACAAGCGGGGCCCTCATAGCGAGGTTCGAGGTTAGACCTACCTTGATGGATGAGATCAACAGAGATCAGGGCATTGATGAAGAATGTCAGAAGATCCGCAGACGGATCCTTGCGGGGCCCGTTGAGAATTTTCGAGTACGTGATGATGGTCTTTTGTTGTTCAGAGATCGCATATGCGTACCAAAGGATGAGGAACTTCTGAAATCCATACTTGAGGAGGCTCATTCTTCAGCCTATGCTATGCATCCAGGAGGTACAAAAATTTACCGAGACCTGAAAGAAAGTTATTGGTGGCCCGGTATGAAGAGAGACGTCGCGGAGTATATGAGTCGATGCCTTACTTGTCAGCAAGTTAAGGCAGGGCATCAGCACCCGGCGGAGCTTTTACAGCCACTTACCATCCCAGAATGGAAGTGGGAACATGTGACCATGGACTTTGTGGTAGGGTTACTACGGACGGTGAACAACTACGATGCCGTATGGGTGGTGGTTGATAGGCTTACAAAAAGTGCACACTTCTTGCCTATCAACATCACTTATCCTCTTGAACGTTTGGCCAAGTTATACACGGAGGAGATTGTGAGGTTGCATGGAGTTCCAATATCCATTGTCTCGGATAGGGACCCACGATTCACATCTAGGTTTTGGCCAAAGTTTCAAGCATCGTTGGGAACTAAACTGAAGTTTAGCACAACATTTCACCCACAGACGGATGGACAATCCGAGCGGGTGATACAGATTCTGGAAGACATGCTTAGGGCATGTGCTTTGGAGTTCCAAGGGAGTTGGGACAAACACTTGGCCCTTGTGGAGTTTGCCTATAAAAACAGTTATCAGGCGAGTATTGGCATGCCCCCATACGAGGCATTGTATAGGAGCAGATGCAGATCACCTTTGTGTTGGGAAGAGGTTGGTGAGGCCAAACTCGAAGGCATAGAGCTTATCGAGATCACCAAGGCCAAGGTGAAGATTATACGAGATAGGCTTAAGGCTGCCCAAGATCGGCAGAAGAGCTATGCCGATAAACGGCGTAGGCCGTTAGAGTTTGCAGTTGGGGATGAGGTGCTTCTAAGGATTTCTCCTTGGAAAGGTATCATCCGATTCATATCGAGGGGTAAGCTTAACCCCCGATACATTGGCCCGTTTGAAATCCTTGAACGGATTGGGGTCGTGGCTTACCGTCTAAAGTTGTCACCTGAACTTGAGAAGATTCATGACGTGTTCCATGTATCGATGCTCAAGAAGTATGTACGAGATCCGTCACATATTCTTGAGAGACCACAGGTAGAGATCCGAGAGGACTTACAATATGCAGTGGAACCGGTGAAGATAGTGGGTCAACAGGTAAAGAAGCTTAGGAGCAGGGAGACTCCTATAGTGAAGGTGCTTTGGAGGAGTGATCGAGTCGAAGAAGAAACCTGGGAGACTAAGGTCTCAATGAGGGAGCAATACCCGTTTCTTTTCATTTAGACACGTGATTTCGGGGACGAAATCCCAAATAGGGGGGGGGAGGTGAACTTGTAACACCGTCCCCAAGTATATTTACTTTTAGTAAATCATGTAATAAACATTGAATAATGATGCATGAATTTACGAGGTTGTGAATGTTTGTTTTTTTCGTTTGCGTGAATAGTGAATTGCACGTGGGGCCCACATCGGGAGCGGGGACCACCCGATAATCCCGGAACCATATATTATATTCATCTTGGTCTAGATAGTATGTATATGGTGGTAGATATTTTAGTTGGGCCATAGAAAGGGCATAGGGTTGACCCGTCGGTCAAACAAGGCCCAATTACCGGTATCAGTAACTTATCAGATAACAGACCGAAATAGCTAATATGGTATGTTTGGAGATAGGTGGTGCATAATATGGTTGTTCATAACTAAATAGATGTTGTGATTAGGTTTGACACATATTGGATTTGAAATAGCAGGTCAACCGAGAGTTGACCGGTTGTTTAGGGGCAACCGACGCCGGTTTGGTTAGTTGTCTATATGTAAATTTTTAATGCATGAATTGCATGGATGAATTTGCTTAGGCCTTAAGATTTGGATTAGTCTTGTTATTTGATTATGATATAGACCCTATCTAGTGTGATATGTGGTAGATCATAGGACGGGTGGAGTACCCAAGGATCGGGCGGTATCCTCAAAACTCGGTTATAAAGGGTGGAGTACCCAAGGATCGTGCGGTATCCTCAAAACTCAGTTATACAGGGTGGAGTACCCAAGGATCGGGCGGTATCCTCAAAACTCGGTTATATAGGGTGGAGTACCCAAGGATCGGGCGGTATCCTCAAAACTCAGTTATATAGGGTGGAGTACCCAAGGATCGGGCGTGTATCCTCAAACCTCATAATTTACTGTTTAGTAATATAGGACCGGGCGGTGTCCTTATGATTAATTGATTTGAACAGGAGGAGTCGTATACACTCATAGGTCTATGGGTGGGCTGGGGTTTTAAGTCAAGGACATTGACTACCGTTATTTTCACAAATAAACAATGTGACGAGCACTTTGTCACGGTGCGTCAAAATAAATTCAATACTAAACACTTATACGTAGTATAGTGTAGTAGAGTTCGTGTTCACAGGGAAAGGTATAATTCTCTTTCTATGAACTTAATGAATAAAAAGGGGGGTTTTGGTTTGAGAGATTTAATTTAATTAAAAACTAAGATGAACAACCTATATGTGTTCATTTCAAAGATAAAAAGGACTTGGCATTGCTACTTTCCACTTGTTGATATATTTTAGTCGATCATTGTTATATCTATAACTTATTCCCTCTCGAATACTCAATCGGGGAGTATATCCACTTCATCGAGGGTAGTTATTAACAACGACCGTTCATTAATAACCCTTACTATTAATCAAATATAGAACAACGCCTTATACCGATTTAATAGTAGCATTTAATCTTTCTAACTCCTTGATGAAATCAATTGAGATTGATAACCTCAACACAAGCGGTTTCGGTTTAACCAACAAAATTAATCCCTCTTAAGTTTATTAACCACGACCGTGCATTAATAAACCGAAGCTACTTACTTGTGAAACCATCAACGATTAACCATCGGTTCGTTGATCGTTTCTAGTAATAATTAATATATGAAACAAAACTAGTTGATCCTTTAAGTAATGTTCAAAATATTAATATGAAATAAGAGTAGGGATTAATTAATATTCAAGGAAGAATATTATTAATGAAGATGAATCCTACTATAATTAATATCAAGATGTTAACTAATTGTCATCTTAGCAACACTCCTCAATATTAATATAGAGGAAGAAAATACCATTCTAACTAATGTCGAGATGTTAACTAATTGTCATCTTAGCAACACTCCCCAACATTAATATAGAGATGATATTAAGGAAAGAACTATTAATTAATATTCAAGGAAAGAAGTTAAGAAAATAACTCACAACTTTAATAATCAACAAGCTTCAAGAGCAACACCAAGAATGGAAGTTTAGCTCCTCATTTGGAGACTAAACATAGCTAGAAAAATATAAAGAAATGCTATTCTAAACTGAGCTAAAGAGAATGGAAGAAGGGATGCTGAAATGTGAAGGAAAATGGGGCTATTTATAGGTGTTTTCAACACCTAATGCCGGATACCCGACCGGGTATTTTGACATACCCGACCGGGTATTTACCAAATCAAATATTTTCCCATGTTTTTGTGTCTTCTGCACGTTCTTTGGTCCGAAATCACAGAATACCCGACCGGATATATGGAATACCCGACCGGGTATTTGCTAGTTTTGCAGCAGTTTCCTTTGTCACTTCATACCCGGCCGGGTAAAGTCCATACCCGACCGGGTTTTGCACAAAACTCAGGTTTCTTCATCCTTTTTGCTTCCAAACCTATCCTAAACTTATAGCCAAACTAACTACAACTTACAACAAACAATAAAATGCTAGAAATACGATTACAATCAAATGCAAACTAACAACTATAAACTTGCACAAAACTAGTAAATAAACATTACAAACAATAATAAAAATGTATACTTAGGCACTAACAACTAGTGCCTATCACAATGACCTACAGATCGAGTATTTCCAAGTGTATATAAGTACTGATATGTATTTTGTAACTTGGGGTGAGGAAGTATTTGTATATGTATCACCCTATGTTTGGGTCTTATACTTGAAACGTTAGTTACTCTACATTTAGCTTGCTACTCCCTCGGTACTTGTACTGACCCCACCATTTCAGGTTGAAGCTAGAGCGCCTGTTGACTACACCTTTGCACGGGTGGAAGAATCTAGAGGAAGACGTGGTTCGTGCTTTCTTTATTACTTCAAAATCATAAACTATGCTCATGGATACTTTTGTAATATTACATTGTTTTGGCCTGCGAGCCTATGTTTTGTCATATGTGGCTTATGATTGACGATTGAATATTTTCCGCTATTCATTCAATCTATGATGTGATGTTGTTATGTATGTGTACTACTGAGTATGGTGTGAACGATGTTCATGAACGCCTTGTGTGATTGTGTGAGGTTGACTTGCGAGTGACATCACTTGATCACACGGCGGTTGTACACGCGCTTGGATGCGGTCTGGGGTTGCTTTCTTAGGCCCAGGGTTGCTTTCTTCCCAAATTTTATTTTTTGTTGGAAACTAGAGAATTTGCATCCACGCCATTCCATTTCTTTGAGAATTTGCATACACTGATCCTCGCCTTACTAGCCAATTGATCAAAGATCAAACCAGGGTTGTGCTCATAAAAGCGCAAATCCTCATTTGCAGCCTGGGTATTAGACTGAATATCTAGGGGCCATAAGACCCTTTTGACATACATTATCCCAGGACCCCTCCCAAGAATGAATCAAACGCAATTGCAAAGCGAAGGCTGCTACCTCGTATTTCAACGATGTGAATACGTTCGGCTCGATCAAATACAAATTGTTTGTCATTGTTAGGAAGAGATTTCCATGTCGGCATCCACCTAAGTTCCTAATTTAATGGGATGGTGGAGATCAAAGGAAGGTCAAGGGATTGGAGACGCAGAAATACCGCTTTCAGTTCTCCCAAAAGTTCTTTTACCAGGCCCACATCATCGATAGGAGTTGTATTCGAACTGAATGTGGAAGCCCTAACCGGCTTCACCTCCATCACAATCCGAGACAACGAGAATCACGATAAGTCAAGCTTTACCAATCGATCACCCCTCTCTACCTGGGCACCTATAATGGCCCTGTGATGAGACAGTATAATTGCCGGAATCCCGGACCTGCTTAGTTTGACTGCTGGTCCAGACATACAATGTAAGCGCTCCTTCTCTTCACCAGCATAGAATCGCATTAAGCTAACTCCACACTGTTTCAGATAAAGAGCGGCAAACAAATAGCCAGACTTTCGAACGAAACGGAGAATATCTCTTGCAAGAACAATCGTTACAACACCACACTCACGGTTGATAGACCTAGTACAGACTCAGGTAATTATGATTAGAAACGAGGCTTTTTTAGTTTCACTTCATCATAAGCTAAGGAAATAAAATTTTGATTTGAATACCTTCTGTCAACCAATTTTCCAGAAATTTTTTGTCAGCTAACAGAATACCATTATAAGTACACTTCACATGCGTTTCTCTATTCCATTCCTTTAAATCTTCAGACCATTCAAGAGTTTGAAATAGTAGCATACACCGAATATTTTTCCCGATTATAAATGAAGGTAATAGAATCTTTTTTCTCAGAATTGATTGGGTTATTCATAAAAAACCTCTTATTATTTGGGTATATGGAAAAGTCTCCCAGGCTTCCCCTGTCTCTAACCGTTCTATTTCCTCTCATCGTTTTTTTCCTTTTTGGTTTCTCTTTTTATTATTATTATTTTTCCTCTGTAGATTCTAAAATACCGAACACTTTTCTGGACGACCATTTTCTAAAAAGCCGTTTCAGTTGAGCCAGATATGGTAGAGAAAAAAGGGGGTTTTCCTCATCCTGTCAAAAAAAAAGAGAGGAATGCGCATTTGCTTTAAAAAGTCCCTCAATAACTATTTTAAGTCTTTGAGTTCACATAGAGTCTTTTATTAAGCCTTGGCGAAAATAAGATTGGTGCGGATATCGTAACAAAAAAAAAGCTTATTATCCTCATCTTCCTTTTTCTTTTTAATATTTTTATCTTTCACATCATCGTTGGATTTTATAGCTTGAATATTTGTATCTTTTGTATTCTTATCTTTGTTTATAGTCTTATCTTTGAGAGTCTTAGGTTCTTCAAAAATTAATACACTGATCCCTTTTCTTGAACGAATATCATGAAGTTGCAATTAATGTTGAGAAGCGAAAGGGGTAAGCCCAGACACAGACCGTATAGGGTATTCTACTAAAAGAAATAAGTAAGGGAACTCTAGGTGATAAAGAAAGAAAGGAAAGGAGGCGCCTTCAATCGAAAACTGGGGTAGGGGCAACATCGATTCCTTATTGATTTCTCAGTATGTGCGCGATCAAAGCCCTTTGGCAAAGAAAGACTAAGCATAAACGACATTAGGTTCAGAGTGAACCATAGGAAGAAGGGATAAGAGCAGTTAACGCCGATTGACCGAAAGTTGCAGGCGCGGGGACACTCATTAGATTAGTTATGCCATTCTCTATAACAACATAAACAAAAGAGTGATGAGCTATGCTATAAAGGAAAGAGCTATTGACCCGAGCTCCACTCCGGGAGAAAGCCCTAAATGCGACAGACACTCCCAACACTTATTAGTCTTAATGATAGGTTGAGTATTCTATCTTCCCATAACCTAGCCCATTTCAATATAAAGGTCTCATTCAATGCAATTTATAAGCTTTTCCATTAAGCAAGACTTTTTGCGCTAGGGTAAAGCGCTCTTGATGTAAATTGATCTGTAGTAAAGGGCAGGCACATACGCAACGGAGATTCAATGAAAGAGCTAAGGTTTGAGTAAGCTCCTCCTGAAAAGATTGGCTTTTCACATCGTTCAAATTGAATTCATTTATGACCTTGAAAGCTTCAATTGGTCTTTTTGAGACCTTCCTCTTAGGAGAAAATAAATACAAGAAAGAGGATACTCTTTCAACAAGGCTACGAGTTCTGGCATACTTGAGGATGTCCTACTTCTATTTCATCTTTCACCGAACCCTACTGAACTCAATCAATATCCTAAGCTGAATCCTACCTCTAAACCACCAACAACGGGAGAGCCGACATGAAATGATAGATGTGCAGCGCATTCTGTAAGGCTAACAACGCATTCTCTAACAGGAATAGCAAAGACCCCTTCTTCCTCTTGTATGAGTTTTTAGCCCCAACTTCAAAAAGGCATTTTCGGGGACTAGCCTCCTTCCCATTAGTCAATAGGGAAGTTCCTCTCCCGCTTGTAGTCATTTTTGTTTCATTCGGTCTCACGTGTTTGTTTTCACTTCCTCGCACATAATTAAGGGAGCCATTGAAAGGTGACTAAAACACCAAAACAGGGACTACCTGTAACACCCCGGCCCCGCAGGACCCGAGGGAGTTACTCCAGGCCTCTAGTACTATCCCCACAAACCACCACGAGCCTTTACCGCGTACTTTGTCCTCACTCATGCGCGCCTTGAGAAACTTCCCAGGGGGTCACCCATCCCAAGACTACTCCCGTGCAAGCACGCTTAACATTGGAGTTCTTGGTTGATGAGCTCCCTTAAAAGGAGATGCACCTTTGTTGGTATGAGTAGTACTATTAATCCTCTTAAATTAATCTCGGGTATTACACTACCCGAGCTAGTGATAGAGGCAAGAACACTTTCCGGCCAAGTCCCATTAATTGATCATAACAATATCGTGGAAATGCTGCATGGACCCATATATATAGAAAGAAAAAGAATCACCTTTGTACTAAACCATATTCAAAAAGTGACAACAGCACCCTAAATGACATATGATACTCATGTTTTTATTCATTTAGATCGATGTTCGGCAGTGGAAATGGATCCATCGGCAAGCCTTGTTGAGGTCGGTATAATCAACACACATACGAAATGTTGGTGGCTTGGGTGCCAAGACAACATTCGCTAGCCAATCCGGGTACTCGACTTCGGCGATATGATTTATGCTAAGGAGCATAGTCACCTCAGCCTTGACAAATTCCCGCCTGTCCGTAGACAGGTACCACTTGCGCTGTTTAACAGGCGTCGCGTTGGGATCGATGGTCAGCTTATGCGTGATTATGTCACGACTAATCCCCGACATTTCATCAGGGCCTAGGGTGAAAATATATACTCATGTTTTTATTCATTAAATAAGAGTAATTTCTATTAAGTTTGGAAAAAATTGTCATGTTTAAAGCATATATGGTAATTAATGTCAAACTTAACAAAAATCACTTCTATTTAAGGATTAAAAACATGACAGTTCTATTTTAGAATTTCAAATCTTTTTTACTCCTCTTTAAGGAATTAAAAACATGTACTTCTATTTTAGAATATTACTTTCTCCGTCCCTAAAAACTTGGTCAAGTTTGACCGGCACAAGGATTAAAAAGTAAAAACCGTGTGATCAGGACGGTCTCTAGGAATGATGCCACAGACAAAAAATGATCAATGAGATCAAATAATACTTAAAATTAATAACCGAATTGAATATAATGTAATTAGAAAACTATAAGCTCATTTTTTACTAAAGGTAAAAGGTAATACTGAATTTAAAACTGATATAAAGTATGTGAAAATGAATTTTCTTCTAAGAAATAAATAAAACTGTAAAAGTACTACCTAATAACATGTTCTTCTTGTCCCATCACTACAATCAAGAGTAGATAAACGAATAACTTCAAGAAAATTAGAAGAAGTTAAGAAAAGTACTCCGTATAACAAAAAGTTTCAATTTTAATACAATAAATAAATACTCCCTCTGTCCCACTAACATAACAATCGGACAAGTGGGAGTGAAATGCAAATCAATAAAAATTGATTTATGTGATTGGTATTTAATTGATAAACTAAGAATAAAGTAAGAATGATTTAGAGCCATCGAATTTGATATTGGACAATCTTATTGGAATGGACCAAAAAAGTAAAATAGGATAATCTTAGTCGGAAGGAGCGAGTAATATTTAATAAATTGGATGTAAAATAACTCATTTAAAAATTTCAGTTAATGAGTTTTCAATTTTTATGTGGAATTAGGGATCGCTGAATAGTTGAAGAAATCAAAGTTTCGAAGTTTATAATCATTTACAAATTCCATTCAATTTTATAGACTCCGCGATCCGTATACTCCATTTTTATTTTACCATTCGTGTTATACCCACCCATATATTTACCTATGTGAAAAGTTTTTTGTCCATGAAAGTCGTTTATAGACAAAATATGCCTTATTTTGTCTATGTAATGTATTAATTAATATACCAATATTATACACACACACACAAATCTTCAGGTCCGGAATTTCAGACGGGTCCCGCCTTCCGGACGGAGGCGTTTCGGCCTCTTCCCGGTGGATTTTTTTGATGAATTCTTTATGTTATGTTCTTCATCAAGTCTAGTTTATCTACAAAATAATTCAGCAAGCAATTCAATCGAGATTATCGCCAAATGATTTTTGGAAGTTAATTGTGTTTTTATATGTATATTTTGGGCGCAGTTATCTTCCAAAAATCATTTGACGGTCTTCCCGATTGAATTTTTAGCTGAAATGTTTTGTGGATAAACTAGACTTGGTGAAGAACATGACATAAAAATTTCATCCAAAAATTTCACCAGGAAGGGCCCCAAATGCCGCCGTCCGGACTGCGGTTCCGGTCAGGAATTCCTGACCGGAAGAGTACTATATATATGTATACATACATATATATATATATATATATATATATATAATAGGAAAAAGATCTTGTCCATCGAGATGGACAAGAGGCGATGTGTGGCAGTCGCCGTTTGGGACGGTTCCCAGTGTTAGTTTTTGAAGAATTTTTTTGAGCATGTTCCTCATCAAGTCTAGTTTATCCACAAAATATTTCAGCTAAAAATTCGATCGCAAAGGCAGTCAAATACTTTTTGGAAAATAACTGCATTTTATAAGTATAATTTGGCACAGTTATCTTCAAAAATTTATTTGACTGCCTTACCGATCGAATTTTTAGCTAATTTTTGTGTGGCTAAACTAGACTTGATGAGGAACATGCTCAACAAAGTTCATCAAAAAGTTTAATCGGAAATCGCCTCAAACGGCAGCGCTCGGACGACGGCTCCTGTCCCTCCGGCTGGACATGATCATTATATATATATATGTATATATATGTATATATATATATATATATATATATATATATATATATATATATATACATAATTACATATACACACACACACACGAGTATATAATACTACCTTCGTCCCACCAAGATTGGAACAAGAGAAGGTGACATGATTATTAAAAAATGGGTTTGTGTGGTTGATATTAAATTGATAAAGTAAGAATAAAGTAAGAGTGATTTAGAGCCACACAATCTTTACCAAATTTGGTATGGGGCAATCTTAGTGGGACTTCCCGAAAAGGTAAAATGAGACAATCTTAGCGGGACGGAGGGAGTAGTAGTTTTTTTTAAATGGACCCACCTAAAGTGGTGTGCCCTAGGCTATTGCTTAGGTGCCTGCCCCCCATAGACGGTCCTGCGCGTGGTTGATTTTTGTGCAAAGGAAAGAGAATTAACCAGAAGTACAAATTCTTTATTTAAAAGGGAAAATGACAAAATTAGCAAGACAACTAAAAAATGAAAGTTGGCAAAGTTGGAATATTACTCCGTCCCTAAAAACTTTGACAACTTTGCTGTTTTTGTTATCCATTAACTTTGTAACTTTCCCATTTAGTTAAAGAATTTGTGATTTGAGTTAATTATCTCTCCTTTGCACAAACCTTAACTACACAGTTTTCACTTTATTAATCTCTGTATCAGTCAGTTTTAAGAGACACATGGAGTATTAATATTAGATAGATTCGATGGTACCCTTAAGGTACCATACCTTTGTCCACATGGACCAATCAAAATGATGTAGTTGAATTATTTAAATCTAAATTAAAAATGATGTAATGATTTGAACCATCAATTGAGTGGTAGGTACGGTACCTCATGTTTTAAATGAGTACCCGAGTTGTCACCTTAATGTTGGAATTTATTAAGAAATATGACTCAAGTGTTCAACATGATCCTTAATAATATTATTTTGATCAGCTATTGTCGAATATAATTATAATAATATTATTAAGGATAAACCTAAAATTTAGTTATTGTATTATTAGACATTTAAATTACTTTTCCTGTTGGTTAATGTAATTATTGATGTACTAATAATAATAATAATAATAATAATTAAATTATGCATCATGAGTGGATGGTGATGCATGTACGTGTGTGTCAATTTTGTTTAAAAATAAAATTGGCAAAAGTCATGCCATTTGCGAGCAATTGCGTACGTACGTAATCAAATGATAATCAAATATTATTTTGATTTGATCTCAAAATTGGGGAAGGATAATGGCACCAATTTACAACCATCATGACTCTTCATAGAGTCGTAATGTTTCGAAAGAAACTGTTGGTATACCGTGGGAGCAACCCATGGTGAGCATGCCGCTCTCACAAAAAAAAGTGTGTTACTGTTCACGCGCGTGAATAATAATCTCTTTTTTGTTTTTTCATTGTCCCAATAATGGAATAGGTGTAACTCGCGTGTAACAAAATGTAATTCACGTTAATAAGAAATGTAACAACAAACAAGTCAAAATGTAACTTGTCTAATACGAATTATAAAAAATAAAAACATTGATTTTAATGAAAACAAAGAGTCTAATTGTTCAATTACTTTACTTAAATAGTTTATATGTTTTGTTTTTATTATTCAGGACATAATTTTTTTTAATCTTTTTTTTGCCAAAAAATCATTTTTTTTGGCCAAAACCTCATTTTGTTTTTGCAAAAAAAAATGATTTTTTATTCAATAGTAGGGGTTAACATAAATGTGAATATATTTTGTTTTTAATATTAAGTCCACAAAAAAATTGATTTTTTTTGCAAAAACACATATTTTTTTGGAAAACAATTTTTTTTGCATAACAATGATTCTTTTGTTTCAATAGTAGGCTTTATGTTGTGATGTAATTCGTATTATAGAAAATGTAACCGTTGATTGAAAATCTAACTTTAGTGTATGCAAAATTTAATTTGTTGAGGCAAACTCAAATAATGTAACTCGCGTATAGAAAGATGTAACTCACGCACAAGAAGATGTAAATCGTGCATAAGAAGATGTAACTCTATATAATATCAAATGTAATTATAGAAATTGTCTAGAAACATAACTCACACATACGAAAAATGTATTATTCTCATGTTTTTTTCAAATTTAAACCGAAATAAACAACCTTAATGACTATAAAACACAAAAAAAATATAAAAGAGATAAAAATTATATTATAGAAAAAGTTAATGAATAAAAAAAATATTTTACAAAAAAGTGTATAATAAATATAAAAAAAGTATACAAAGTAAGAAATAGTGTATGAATATGAAATACAATATACTTATTTTATGTGGATTAATAAAATTTTGTATTAAATTGGCCAAAAAAATTAATTCAGTTATAATTTAATTATTTCAAGATAAAGATAAGTAAAAAATCACAAATAATTAGATATAACTCACGCATAATTACATGTAACTCGCACATAAAAGTATGTAACTCGCGCATAAGAAGATGTAACTCACTCATAACAAGATGTAATTCACGCATAATAACATGTAACTTGAGTATAAGATGGTGTAACTTCATATATTATCAAATGTATCTCCAAGCTAGAATCAAAATAAACAAACTCAATATCTTCAAAACCTCTAAAAACATATAAAAGTGATCAAAAAAATATATTATACAAAAAAGTGTATGCATATAAAAATATATTACAAAAACATGTATGAATGTAAAAAAGATATTACAGAAAATAGTGTATGACTATGAAATGTAATGTACTTATTTTTTTTATATTACTGAACTTTTTGTTATGTATTGATAAAGAATTAAAAAATAGATTCAATTATAATATAAATTGAAGATGAGGAAAAATAAAACTACAATTAAATTTTTAATATTTTAATTTGATGGAAATAGAGAAGAATGAAAGAAAAGAAAAATAAAGAAAGAATAACAAAAGAAAAAGGAAGAAGCTCCAGAAAAAGAAAGAAAGGAACGTAGCTTTGCAAAAGTGGGATCGGCATACCATGCTGAAGGTGGGCTGATCCGACGATATAATTTGCGGAAAGAAACTGATGATGTGAGACAACATGTGCGTTGTTTTCTATAAATGCATGTTGAACGTGTGAAGTCGGAAAAAACTTGATAATAATTCCTCTTGCTATATTTATCCTATTATCTGCAGAAATAGTGATTAATATTTAGCACACATTATATACAAATCATTTGTTAAGTGTTATTTTACCAGTAGCTAAAATACACTTGTACATCTTCTTTTTATCCCAAAAGTTCTATCTTGTAACCCGGTTACTGTGATAAAGGTAGATAGTAAACTTTTAGTAAAGCGTATTTTATATGTGACTAGAATTGATATCCGGTCCAGCCATATTTATACACCCTTATATTATACTATTTCTTTCCCCAGTTCTAACAATCTAAAAGTTTACTATTCCGGAAATATGGCCGCTACTCAACGCGATATCATCAACACCAATTTTCAAAAATTCGAAAAATTTGGAGGTGTGGAATTTCGAAGGTGGCAGAAAAAGATGCATTTTTTGCTCACCACTTTGAAAGTGGTCTACGTGTTAAGCACCCCAAGGCCGCCTGAGGAAGAAGAAAAAGAGTCTTTGGAAACAAGCCGCCGCCGCATAAAGTGGGATTATGACGACTACATTTGTCGTGGGCACATTTTGAACGGTATGTGTGATTCTCTATTTGACGTGTATCAAAGTGTTTAGTATGCTAAAACGTTGTCAGAATCTCTAGAATCCAAATATATGACCGAGGATGCTTCTAGTAAGAAATTTCTCATTAATAACTTTAGAATCCAAATAACGTTGTGGGAATCTCTAGAATCCAAATATATGACCCATGGAGCAATTTCATGAGATTCAACGTTTATATGATCAACTTTTGATTCATAACATGCATGTTAATAAAACCTTTGCGGTCGGTTCTATAATCGACAAATTACCACCTTCATGGAAGAAAGTGAAAAATAGCCACAAACGCAAAAAGGAGGATTTGTCAATGGAGCAACTTGGCCGCCGACTTCAAATTGAAGAAGGCATTAAGTTGCGTGAAGGTGACAATAGTAAAAAGAATGACCTTCCAATTTTCTCTATAAATGTTATGGAGGAGGGACAGTCAAGTGGGACCAAGAAAAATAAAAAACGTCTCTGGAAATTCACCAAAGGTTCCAAGTTTCAAAAGAAGCCGAAAGATAAGAAAGTAGGCTCTTGTTGGGAATGTGGTGGTCCACATTTCAAGAGAGACTGCCCGAAGGTGAAGAAGAAGAAAGCCCAACTGAACGGCCATCCAAATGGTGGCCAAGACAACCAAGGTCAGAATCTTTTTGTAGTTACAAATGATGTTGATAACAACATGATTTTTGTAGCTATGCTTTCTGAAATTTGTGTTGTGCAGGATGATGAATTTTGGTGGATCGACACCAGAGCAACAAGGCATGTATGTAAAGATATACAAGCTTTTATGACTTTAAAAGAGTTGCAAGAAGGGCCGATCTTATACATGGGAAATGATTCTACTGTGCAAATTCAAGGAATTGGGCAAGTAGAATTGGAATTCTCTTCCGGAAACAAATTAATTCTTAATGATGTGTACTTTGTACCACAAATCCGGAAAAATCTTGTCTCCGGTAGCATCCTAAATAACTTTGGGTTTAAACTTAGCTTTGAAGCAAATAAGTTTATTTTATCTATGGGTGGTGTATTTGTTGGCCAAGGTTTCTATTGTAATGACATGTTCAAACTAAGTGTTGTAAATAAAGTTGTTAATTCTGTTTATATGGTTTGTGATTCTTCTTTGTGGCACAACAGGTTATGTCATGTTAATTATCGTAGACTTAGTGACATGTTTAAAGTAGGTTTAATTCCTCCTTTTAATATGAACATAGAATAATGTAGAACTTGCATGTTAAACAAAATTACTAGAAATTCTTTTCAAAATGTTGAAAGAAAATCCAACATGCTTGAATTAGTACATAGTGATTTGTGTGATTTCCATAGCACTCATTCTTTTGGAAATAAAAAACATGGAGTCACATTTATTGATGATTGCACAAGATATTGTTACATATACCTTTTATTTTCAAAAGATGAGGCAATGAATAAATTCAGAGTTTTTAAAACGGAAGTTGAGTTACAAATCGGAAAGAAAGTAAAAAGTGTTAGACCCTTAGATTTTGATAAACAGTTTTGATGATGCCAAAGCTTTTCAAATGTCCCCCTTCTTTTGTAGCATTTAACTTAATGATGTATTCCGGCAGTGGGCTAAGCTAGTAAAGTACTATTTGAAAGTGTGAAGTTTAAAGTGTCAATTATCAAAGAAATTTAACTGAATAATATAAAATGCAATAAGGTAATATTTTACTACCTTAAAAGGATTTCTTATGGACCTTACCAGTTACATTTCTTTGATACATCAAATAAACACAAAAACATCTCGAACAAACTATTTATTAAGTTGGAACACAAAATGCAATAAGGTAATAATTTTTTCCTTAAAAGGATTTGTTATCCTACCAGTTAAATAAATAGTTCATGTTCGAAATACTAGCTGGAGTGACCGAAAGACAAAAGTAAAATGTTTTGTATCAAGAAAATTATACCGGAAAAGTCAAAATGCAATAAGGTAATTTATTACCTTAAACGGATATTTAAATCCTACCGGTATAAGACCAATTGAGAACAAATAAATATATAATTTTTAAGACTAATAAAATTTGTACTGGAAAGTAAAAATGCAATAAGGTAAAATTCACTTACCTTAAAACGATATAACTCTACGAGTATAAATTTTATTAGACTAAAAAATTAACTGATCGTTTATTGTTTTATCACCTCGTGATAAACCGGAGCCAATCAAAGAAAAGGAATCCAAGCATTGAGGATGTTTAATGCAAAGAACGTACAAAGCATGGGAGGCACAGTCTAGTTGGATATATACAGGAGAACTGCAGCAGCTAGGCAGAAAGAGACAAAAGGATTTATCGGCTCCAAAGAAGAAGACGAACAACAAGTTGTTATCTTCTGAAACAAAGATTCGACGTACAAGATTAAATCATCTCAACCAACGGATGAGATTAATCTACTGGAGATGCCTATAAATGAAGGCCGAAGCATGAGTTCGAAAATAAGTTTTTGAGTTCAAAAGCAGAGAAATCTTATAAGCATTCAAAGAATATCTAGCAAAAGAGAAAGTGCTTGATAATAACCTCACTCTCTGCTTTGACTCATGCTTCACTAAGCTCTTAGACTAGATTATCATTTTCATATTTTTAGAGCTTAGTTTATAGTTGGAGACCAGAATTTTCTTGTAGTATACAAGGAGTTGTTAAACACTTCAGGAGGACAGTTGTTCCTGGCCTGAGTGTGGTTAGATAGGTCAGGAGTACCTTTTGATCCCCACTGGATCAATTGAGAAAAACCTAAAGGATTGAGTAGCTTGGAGTGGTGTTGTACTCCTCGTGAAACACATTCAATCTAGGTCAGAGTTGTCAAGGCTAGATTGGCACTAAGTGTATTGGGCTTAATACATTAGTGAAATCCATTTGAAATAGGATGGGACTGGATGTAAGAGGATTACACCACCTCTGAACCAGGATATATTGTGTGTTGATTTACCTTCAGTCAACATAGCACACACCCAACACTTCTCAATAAAGAAATCATAGTTTGTCAGCAGAATCCTAAGCAATAGTCTTAACTGACCCAACTGCTTATCCTACTGCTCAATAATTTACCTTTTTTGAGACATCTGTTTCACAAGAGCTTAGGAATATCACTACTAGAAGGTTTGTTTTGCCAGTTATCAGAACACACTCCTCAAACGCAGCAGGTGCCTCAGCAGTTCCCTGGCACTACCCAACTGCTGAGATCTCTGATCAAGCAAAACACCTTATTATTTCCAGCTCATCACATATCCAGAAAGCCCTCATCATTCTACATAAGGTCATATAATCATTTCTCCCAAACTTCTATTTTACACTGGCAGTTTCCTCAGCAGTTCCCTGACATCCAGACAACTGCCAAGCCAACTGCTGACTGTTTAAAGTCCAAACATCATTCAAGCTAGAAAGTTATTCATACACTATTTCCATAAAGGGTAAAGACTTCCGCTGTGCATCTATAAATATCTCAAAAGGTTATAGATCAAACTCTTTAGAGGGAGAAACACTTTAAGTTGAAAAAGATTTAAAAGTGTATTCACCCCCCTCTAGACTTTTACCCTATCCGGGAATATCAAGTGGTATCAGAGCGGAGTGTTCCTAGAGTCATTTATTGACTAATTTGAACTAAAGATCCAAAACCACTATTCTTCCCAAAACAACTTTCTAACAATGGACAGACAGTTGGCAAAGAATCTTTTGTCCAACCAAAGCAAGTGTGATAACTGGAGAACCAATGATGTCTGGGATGAGCTCTCAATGATCCAATCAGCTGATGATCAAAAAGGCTCAAGTGATGAAAGAAGTTCATTAGGGAGTAAGGAGGAGACTCTGATTTGTCTCTTTGGAATGCATCATGCTGAAAACTCCTTCAACAACTGCTCTATGACCAGAACAACAAGTAATGACAATGATGAGGTATTATCGTGTTCTTCAAATATCTCAAATGATTCTAGCTGTTCCAGTGTAGACATGGAGGCATTACTCCATCAATTTGAAAACTTTCAAAAGGATCACCTTCTTTTAATGAACGAAAACTGTAGACTTCAAGAAAATCTAATAGTAGCCCAAGCTCAAATGGGTGAAGTGATAAAGATGAAAGATTTTCTTGAACTCGAAAACATCGTTTTAAAAGAAAGGCTGAGCTCCCTCACTACTCCTATTGGTGAGGAAATTCAAAACTGGAAGAACACAGGATCAGGAGACACACCATTAGCCCAACCATTGAAATACTCTCCCAAATACTCTCATATTCCAAAAACCGCCACAAATCAACTCGACATAAGGAAATCTAACCAACTAAAACCTCACTCCCAAACTCGGTCAAATAAAAGGACCCAGTCCTCCTCCAGATCAAAATCCAAACTTTCCTACAATACCATCTTCCAAAACAACCAACCAATCAAAAGGACCAACTACATGCCAAAGAAAAAGCTGATCACTCCAAATACACATATTCCCACCTACAAGGAATAATGTTCATCAAAATATAGCCAATTCTCATAATGGCTGTAGATCTATCAGCTCAGATCAAAACGTCCCTAAATTGGTATGGATGCCTAAAGACATTCAAAGGAAGATACCCACGAAATTGTGGGCTGATACTCAAAACTGACAAAAACGGGAATGTGCTAGAGTAGCCGACTTACAAGAACTATTTTCAAACTACTTCATGCACAAGGTAGGTAGCAGGGGGCTACTGTCAAGTTTCTAAATATGGAGAAGGACCCAAAATAATATTTGGGAATAAGGAAGAAAAAGGAGAAATCAAAGGAGCTGGAAAACCCAATCAAAAATGGACTTCAATCCAGAACATATCATATGGGATTAAAGTTCAATCTTATAAAGCACAAGCCAGCTCCGCGACAACATTCACAATGTGACATTCTCCATGGACATCTGCTTGGTCAGAGATGTCCAAAAACAACAAAATTGTGCTAACCGGTAGAAGAAAGAAGAATAGTTGCACTATTGATTGGGGAATACAAAAGTAGGAATCTGCTCTGAAATAAAAAAGCAGATTCAAACATGAGTTGAGATTGGCACCACTCCATTAGCCATCTCAATTTCAAAACCATCAAGGGGATCTCCATCAACAAGCTATTCTTCAAGGGGTTGTACCTGGTTTGAATGAAAAGGCTTCAAGTTGTCTTCTCAGCAAAAGTAACAAAAGATGACTGGATTCTGGAACCAGCAGTTGACTCAAACAACAGCCGACTGCTAGCAGTTAACTCAAAAGGCAGCCAACTGCCAGCAGGCGGCTCAGAAGCAGAACTACTGTCAGCAGATGACTCAAATGAAAGACCACTGTCAGCAGTTGACTCAAAATATAGAACACTACCAGCAGTTGACTTGATCTAAATCAACTCTCAAGAAACTCCAAGCTGAATTAAGCACAAGGCTTAATGATCCCAAACCCCTTATTCTACCAGAAGACAGTAAAGAAGAAGAGGAGGATGAGCAGGTATCTCAAATAAACCAAACATCTAACATAGATGATGAACCTACATCCTCCTTATCAAAGTAGTGATGACATCATCCAAATGGTTCATACAAAAGCATCAAACCAGAAAGAAGTGCCATTCTTATGGTACATCTATCTAATTGAACCTAAGATGATTCGAGGAGCCCTACCAGATTCTAACTGCACACAAGCTATGAAAAGGTACTAAACGTATGTGAAAGAACACTGCTTTAAAGCTTGTATCCAGATCCTATCATCATCAAGTGATAGGAACAAAAAGGGTCTCCAGAAAATGAAGGAAGGCATCACTGCTAAGAATAAAGCAAAATTGATGGACAAAGGGTACTGGAAAGAAGAAGAACTAGATTTTGATAAAACCCTTGTCCCAGTCGCAGACTTGAAGCTACAAAGAAATTCTTAGCAGATGTTGCCCATAAGCAATTCACAATCCATCAAATGGATGTGAAAAGTGCCTTCCTAAAAACGGTCTACTAGAAAAGGAGGACTACGTGGAGCAGTCCCCTTGATTTGAAATTGTTAGAGATGAAGCATTCAAACTTAATCATTCTCTGGAGTCAGGCAAACTCCAAAAGAATGGTTAAAAACACTCTCTAAACATTTGGTGAAAAATGGGTTCACAAAAGACAAAATAG